TTAGATGTTAAAGGTTAACATCTAAAACGCAAAATTGTTTTCCAAGTTTGTTTATTTGTACCTTGTTTTTGGGTAGTAATGTTGATATTATTTCATTTACTTGTATGAGTATATTTTTTATTTATCTCGGTACATTAGATGGAGAAGGAGCACGAGCGCAAAGGCTCCAGACCAGAGGGAAGTCTTCCTTAGGTTCAGGCTTCTACATCCCAAAACCCTGAACCTTTTCTAGTGGAGGTGGAGTTGCTTCAAGACTAAGAGCCTTCAACACTGATCTCTGTCGAATCCAGATGCTCAACTCATTTCAGTGAACCTCTTGCTCAAGAACTAGCATGTTCGTGTAATGACTGTGCATGAAAGTGACAAGGTTGAATCTTCTCAAAAGTCTGCAGACATCACCAGCTTCAGATCTCTTCCCTCTAACTCCACCATCTAACTCCTTGGTCAACTTATCTGACCACTCGACATCATCACTCAATTTCCAGATCAGATCCAAGCAGTTCCCACAAGCTGGGGTCTTCCTGGTTGAGATTGTTTAGTCCATGGTGGTGGTCTCCATCGCACGGTCAGCACCATTATAAAGATGAGCATCACTGGTATGAATGTTTTCAAGTGATACAGCCATATGGGTCTGGAGAGGGACATGTTGGGTTGGTAAATTTAAATAAGCAGAGCCAGTGCTTCTCAACCTGGGGTCCCCAGATGTTTTTGGCCTACAATTCCCAGAAATCCCAGCCAGTTTCCCAGCTGTTAGGATTTCTGGGAGTTGAAGGCCAAAAACATCTGGGGACCCCAGGTTGAGATGATAAGCAGAAGCTTTACCACAGTTTTTGAATCAAAACTTGGACACCAGTTTAAACTGGTGTCCAAATTCATTCATTTTATGTGTCCAAAGGAGGGCAGCTAAAATGATCAAGGGTCTGTAGAAGAAGCCCAATGAGGAGCAGCCTAAAGAGCATGTTTAGCCAGCAGAAGAGAAGGCTGAGAGGAGACTTAATGAGGGCCATGTATAAATATGTGGGGGGGGGGGGGGACATGAGGAAGAACTTCCTGACAGTGAGAGCTGTTCAGCAGTGGAACTCTCTGCCCCGGAGTGTGGTGGAGGCTCCTTCTTTGGAGGCTTTGGAGCAGAGGCTGGATGGCCATCTGCTGGGGGAGCTTTGAATGAGATTTTCCTGCTTCTTGGCAGAATGGGGTTGGACCGGATGATGGGCCATAAAGTCTCTCCCAACTGAAGGATTCTATGAAACGAGCCCTGACTATGTAGGGCCCAGCAGACATTGTTCCTGAAATTCGGCTGGATGCCGGCAGAGGGCGCTCCTGCATTTAGAAGCCTAACCCATCCTCGTCCAGCGAGCAAGGGAAAGGCGCCCAAGTAGTTGGGAAAAGAGGGCAGGCACTGTGTGTGCCAGGCAGCAGGCCTGCCTTCCCTCCTTCCATTATTAATTGCAGGTGCCCAGCTCCATTAATGGGGAGGGGCAACACAGGCCCAACACTTGCACTCCTGGGTCATGGTTTTTATTTATCGTATCATATGCAAATCAGGGGTATAGTTGTAATGTATTTTTTAAAAACAAAAATTTTAAAAACTTGGCATTATACTAAATGTCCTTTGACCAGTAGCTGGCCACTTGGAGTGCCTCTGGTATCGCTTTGAGAAGATCCTCCATTGTGAATGTGGCAGGGCTCAGGCTGCATTGTAGTAAGTGGTCTGTGGTTGGCTGGACTCCACTTTGTGGCCCCATTTCTTAAAGTTGGCTCTGCATCTTGTGGTGCCGGAGCGCAGCCTGTTCAGTGCCTTCCAAGTCACCCAGTCTTCTGTGTGCCCAAGTGGTAGTCTCTCATTCAGTATCAACTTGAGGTTCCAGGTTTGAGCCTGCCACTTTTGGACTCTCACTTGCTGAGGTGTACCTGCAAGTATCTCTGTATTTATTGATTTAAGGCATTTGCATGCTGGTTGTACAGAGGATGGCCTGAAGATGTCACTGCCTTGGTCCTTTCATTGTTGGCTGCTACCTCCTAGCGGATGTCAGGTGGTGCAATACCGGCTAAACAGTGTCATTCCTCCAGTGGCGTAGGGCACAGACACCCCGTGATAATGCGGCATGTCTCATTAAGAGCCACATCCACTGTTTTAGCGTGGTGAGATGTGTTCCACACGGGGCATACTCAGCAGCAGAGTAGCATAGCGCAAGGGCAGATGTCTTCACTGTGTCTGGTTGTGATCCCTAGGTTGTGCCAGTCAGCTTTCGTATGGTATTGTTTCTAGCATATCTATCTAGGATCATGATAAATAGAGATTAGATAGATAGATATAACAGACATGGGAAAATTTGGGCCCTCCCTCAGGTGTTTTGGACTTCAACTCCCACCATTCCTAACAGCTTCAGGCCCTTTTCTTTTCCTTTTCCTCTTCCTTTCATTCCTTCTTTCCTTTATTAATTGCACATACCCAGCTCCATTAATGAGGAGGGGCAATACAGACCCAATGCTTGCAGTTGTTGATCATGATAGATAGATAGATAGATAGATAGATAGATAGATAGATAGATAGAAAGAGCAGACATGGGCCAACTTGGACCCTTCAGGTCTTTTGGACTTCAACTCCCACCATTCCTAACAGCCTCAGGCCCCTTCCATTTCCCCTTCAGCCACTTAAGCGGAAAAGGAGAAGAAAAGGAAAGGGCCTGAGGCTGTTAGGAATAGTGGGAGTTGGAGTCCAAAACACCTGAAGGGCCCAAGTTGGCCCATGTCTGGTTTATATAATGATGTTCACAAGCTGGGATGCATCTAGAGGAGGGCGACTAAAATGATCAAGAGAACAAGCTCTATGAGGAGTGGCTTAAAGAGCTGGGCATGTTTAGCCTGCAGAAGAGAAGGCTGAGAGGAGACATGATGATAGCCATGTATAAATATGTGAGGGGAAGTCATAGGGAGGAGGGAGCAGGCTTGTTTTCTGCTTCCTTGGGGACTAGGATGCGGAACAATGGCTTCAAACTACAAGAAAGGAGATTCCATCTGAACATGAGCAAGAACTTCCTGACTGTGAGAGCTATTCAGCAGTGGAACTCTCTGCCCTGGAGTGTGGTGGATGCTCCTTCTTTGGAGGCTTTGAAGCAGAGGCTGGATGGCCATCTGTTGGGGGTGCTTTGAAGGCAATTTTCCTGCTTATTGGCCGAATGGGGTTGGACTGGATGGCCCACGAGGTCTCTTCCAACTCTATGATTCTAAAGACTCTATGACTTTACTAGCCGTCCGCGGCCATGCATTGCTGTGACCCAGTCTGTGTATATGTTTTTTGTGTGTATATATGTGTGTGTATATATGTGCATATGTGTGTTTGCGTATATATGTGTGTGGTTTTGTGCATGCGTTGTAATGGATTTTTAATTTTTTTGGCTTTTTAAGTCTCTTCTGATGTGTTTTTCAGTATTTTTTATGAATGATGGCCACTTGTTGGCCTAATAGGTTTATTGTGTCCAAATTTGGTGTCCATTTGTCCAGTGGTTCTTGAGTTATGTTAATCCCACAAACAAACATTACATTGTATTATTGAAGGCTTTCATGGCCGGAATTACTGGGTTGTTGTAGGTTTTTTTGGGCTATATGGCCATGTTTTAGAGGCATTTTCTCCTGACGTTTTGCCTGCATCTATGGCAAGCATCCTCAGAGGTCATGAGGTGACCTCACTACCTCTGAGATGCTTGCCATAGATGCAGGCAAAATGTCAGGAGAAAATGCCTCTAAAACATGGCCATATAGCCCAAAAAAACCTACAACAACACAACCTTTACATTTTTATTTATATAGATGATTCTACGAGTCTTGGGAGGAGAGCAATGTTCAATCTTGATAAAATAATGAAGAGTAGAGACATCACACTGGCAACGAAGCAATGGTATTCCCTGTAAGTAACTTATGGATGCAAAAGCTGTGGAAGATAGGCACTTTTGAGTTGTGGTGCTGGAGGAAAGTTCTGAGAGTGCCTTGGACAGCGAGAAGATCCAACCAGTCCATACTTCAGGAAATAAAGCCCGACTGCTTAATGGAGGGAAGGATAGTAGAGGCAAAGATGAAGTACTTTGGCCACATCATGAGGAGACAGGAAAGCTTATTTATTTGTCGTGTCAGGGCAACCAGTCAATTGTATTACATTTCTAACAAAACAAAGCAAACAAACAGACAAAATACAAAATGTGTGAGTTTGGTAGTTGATTAAATGTCCTTTGACCAGTATCTGGCCACTTGGAGTGCATCTGGTGTTGCCGCAAGAAGGTCCTCCATTGTGCATGTGGCGGGGCTCAGGTTGCATCCACATGCTTGTGAATTTCAGTGGCTTCTCTGTGTCATCTGATATGGTGGTTGTGATTTTAAAAGCTATCAGCTTAACTATAATAAATCCATTTGACATGTCTTTATTCCAATAAAACTTTAAGACTGCCAGTGTGGCAAATGAGATGCAAATGCTCTCTCTCTCTCTCTCTCTCTCTCTCTTTTTCTCTCTCTCTTTTATTTTAAGTATATTTAAGGTGGTCTGTGGTTTGCTCTTCTCCACACTCGTATGTTGTGGATTCCACTTTGTGGCCCCATTTCTTGAGGCTGGCTCTGCTCAATGATGCTGGGGAAAGTGGAAGGAAAAAGGAAGAGGGCAAGGGCAAGATGGATGGATGGCATCCTTGAAGTGACTGGACTGACCTTGAAGGGGCTGGGGGTGGTGACGGCCGACAGGGAGCTCTGGCGTGGGCTGGTCCATGAGGTCACAAAGAGTAAGGAACGACTGAATGAATGAACAACAAAACGATTCTACACTGTGGAATGGAAGAGAGGAGAATTCCTCGAGGGAGGGGCGTGGCTTGTTTGGAGAAGAGGCGTGGCTTGCAGGAAGAGAAGGCGTGGTTTCCATTGACTCCAGAGGCGGCCAAAATGGCAGTGGGCGCGTCTATGCAGATGAGGGGTGGGGCTATGCAGATGAGGGGGCGTGGCCTTGGCAAGGAGTCCCGTCCCCTTCCCTTGTCTTCGCCAGCCTCCCCTCGGAGGAGCCCATCTCGCTCGGAGCCGTCCCCCACCCACCCTGCTCGACCATGACCCTGCGGAGGCTCCGGCGGCTCCGTCCCGGGCAGCCCGAGGAGGAAGCGGCGGGGTCCGGGAGCATGCCGGGGGCGAGGGGCGTCCTCGGGGGGAGAGCCTCGGAGCTGGAGCTGGAGAAGGCGCTGGCGGCCTCGGGAGGGACCCTGCCCAGAGCCAGGCGGGTGAGTGAGTGAGTGAAGGGCGGAGACCGAGGGAAGCAGGCAGGGAGGGAAGCCCCCATCCCTCCCTCCTCGTGGCGGTCCCCAGCCCTGCCATGCGGGTCCCAAGGCCGAGTTCTGGGGAACTTCGCAGGACTTTCGCCTTGACATGTCTCCTGACCCCCTTCCTTCTCTGTCTCCTGGAATCCTCGAGCTGGAAGAGACCCAGGCCCACCTTTTTCTGGCAAAGCACCATCAAAGCCTCCCCGACAGATGGCCATCCAGCCTCTGCTTCGAAGGAGAAAGAGGCTCCTCTATGTCACATCCTATCAAGCATCTATTCTAGACCCAGCCATGGAAGTCGCAGGATCACCTATGGAAGTGTCTCTCAAACTCTGCTCCTCCAGGTGTTTTGGGCTTCTGCTCCCAGAAATCCCAGCCAGCTGTTAGGAATAGTGGGAACTGAAGTCCAAAACATCTGGAGGAGCACAGTTTGGGAAACTGGCCTGTTTGTTTTTTTGTCATGTCAGGAGCAACTTGAGAAACTGCAAGTCACATTTAGTGTGAGAGAATTAACCGTCTGCAGGGATGTTGCCCAAGGCACGCCCGGATGTTTTACCATCCTGTGGGAGGCTTCTCTCATGTCCCTGCATGGGGAGCTGGAGCTGACAGAGGGGAGCTCATCCCGCTCCCTGGATTCAAACCACCAATCTTTCGGTCAGCAATCCTGCCAGTACAAGGGTTTAACCCATTGTGCCTCTGGGGGCTCCTGGCCTGTGCTTTCTAGTATTACATGTATAAGATGATACTTTGTTTTGGATCTCACGACATGGTTATTTTTAAGAGAGAGAAAGTAGGGAAACACCAGTGCAAAAGTTGGGAAGAGGTGCCTGTGAGTCTCTATATAAAGGACATTTCAAATGTGTTGTGGTCCAGCTTTGTGTGTATTTTCTGGGAGACCCAGTTGAGGGTCAGTTTGGCACTGCCTTGACTGGAGTGGCTGTTTGTCTTTCTCTTCCACAGCCGTATTATTCCTGAAAAAGGTTTGCAAGCCCTTTCTGCTGTGATGCACAAACCCAGCGCTGAATCCCTAACCTTTTTTCATCCCCTTAGCAAGCACTTTATATCTTTAAAGTTACTGTATTGTGCAGTTTTCTGTGGGATTCAGTTCTGGGTAAACATACTAAAAGGATTGGGCAGTGTTTCAGCTTGAAATATAGGGATCAGGTTTAAAGTTGGTCTGCGTGTTGGAAAGTTTCCTCCGTGGGATGCTTGTTTTCGGGACAAGAAATAATTGTGTATCTCTCAACCCATACTTTGTGGTCCCCTTTCCAATTCTTTGCTCTGGGTACAATTTTGGATTCCCTTGAAAAGTTGGTCTGACTACAAGAAGGGAATCTTCCTATAATTTCAACGAACTTCCTGTCAACCTTTTTTCTAAGCGCTTTTAGGAAAGCTGATCAGGCATTTCCTGGGAGCAAGGGATAGCATAAAGGTAAAGGTAGTCCCCTGACATTAAGTCCAGTCATGTCTGACTCTGGGGTGTGGTGCTCATCTCCATTTCTAAGCCGAAGAGCCAGCGTTGTCCGTAGACACCTCCAAGGTCATGTGGCCGGCATGACTGCATGGAGCGCCATTACCTTCCCGCCAGAGCGGTACCTATTGATCTACTCACATTTGCATGTTTTCGAACTGCTAGGTTGGCAGAAGCTAGGGCTGACAGTGGAAGCTCACGCCGCTCTCCGGAATCGAACCTGCGACCTTTCGATCAACAAGCTCAGCAGCTCAGTGCTTTAACCCACTGCGCCACCGGGGGCTCCACCGGGATAGCATACTCGGATGTAAAGCTGGAATGAGTTCCCTTTTTGGGTTGCTGTGAATTTTCTGGGCTGCATGGCCAAGGTATTGTCGAAGGCTTTCATGGCCAGAATCACTGGGTTGTTGTAGGCTTTTTTGAGCTATGTGGCCATGTTCTAGAGGCATTCTCTCCTGACGTTTCGCCTGGATCTATGGCAAGCGTCCTCAGAGTTAGTGAGGTCTGAGAGAACGTCAGGAAAGAATGCCTCTAGAACATGGCCATATAGCCTGAAAAAACCTACAACAACCCTGTATGGCCAAGTTCCAGAAGCATTCTCTCCTGACATTTCACCTGCATCTAAGGTAGGCATCCTCAGAGGTTATGACCTCACAATTTCTGAGGATGCCTGCCATAGATGTGGGTGAAACGTTAGGAGAGAATGCTTTTGGAACATGGCCATACAACCCAGAAATCTCACAGGAACCCAGTAATTCCAGCCATGAAAGTCTTTGATGAAAGTTACCTTTTTGGCATACAATTCCCCAAATCCTCCAGCTAGCGTGGCCAGGGGATTCTGGGAATTGTGGTCCACAAAAGTAACTTTTCCACTCTTTAGGATCTTGAGAATGCCCCCCTCCCCCGCTTTCAAACTATCACTGGCTTGTTTTTATAATCTTGGCAGACTAGACTGTGCCTTCTAGGAAGTAATCTTTGGGATTTAACTCCTCATAAATTAGTTCAACATCGGGCTACCATCCTTTTGTGAATTTCCTGTCCAGTTTCCTTCCACACCACAAGTTACTGCTGGTAGTTCTATATTATATATCTGATGATAATGAATGCAGTGAAATGACAGAGTTTTAACATCAAATTTTAAAATAAACATGCATAAGCCTTGAGAATGTGTATGCATGTGATAGACCATAATTTCTATTTTAAAAGAGGGATAAAAATGGATAGAGCCATCATTGACAATAGGTTCTGAACTGCTCCCATGTTGCCAGAATGAACAAGGCTTTGTAGAGACCAAACTATTGTTTTATCATGTCAGAGGCGACTTGAGAATAATGCAAGTCGCTTTTGGTGTGAGAAAATTGGCTGTCTGCAAGGAGGTTGTCCAGGTGATGCCTGGATGTGTTACCATCCTGTGGGAGGCTTCTCTAGTGTCACTGCATGGGAAGCTGGTGCTGTCATACAGGAGCTCAACCCACTCCCTGGATTTGAACCACCAACCTTCAGATCTTCAGGTCAGCAGTTCAGCCCTTGTGCCACCGCAGCTCCAAACTATTGAAAAGTTCCCTTTGTTTACTGCAGCTCCCAGAATCCCCTTACCAACTGACTATTGGCTATGGTGTCTGGGGATATCTGGGAGTTGATATCCATATGGTAAGTTTGCCACTCTCTAGTTTCCAGGCCACTTGTTCCCAACTCCCTCTTGCTTGTAATTTACCCAGATGCTTCTCTTGAGACCTCTGCTCTCTCTCTTCACCAAGAAACTAATCTTCTTGGTTGTCACTTGATCCAACCATCCTCTATTGATTTCATGAATATTAAGTTCATGTGAGAAGTTGCAGAAGGCTGTTCACCACGCTTGCTTCTCCAGTTCCCCGCTTTCATAGCAAAGGGTTGCAGTTCTTGCCCATTAACTAATTTTTTGCTTTCCTTTTTGTCATGGGGTTCAGTCAAAATCCCCTTGATGCAATAGGGTTGCATGGGGTGTATTTATTTATCGGGTGTTGTACTCCCAATTTCTTCCCTGCCTGTGTCCCAAAGGTCGGTGGTTTGAATCCGGGGAGTAGGGTGAGCTCCCATCTGTCAGCTCCAGCTTCTCATGCGGGGACATGAGAGAAGTCTCCCACAGGATGGTAAAACATCCAGGCATTCCTAGGACAATGTTCTTGCAGACGACCAGTTCTCTCACACCAGAAGCGACTTGCAGTTTCTCAAGTGGCTCCTAACATGAAAAAAAGTTGTATCTTTGGATTAAACATTTCCTATATTGTGTTTATGTTGCCCTGGAATTTTTTACAGGACCACCACACATGACAGGAAATTCTTTACATTTCAAATAAATATCCTTATGTACATTTTAACAAGTCTTGCTGGGATCAGGTACCACCTGCTCATCATCTTGTAAAAGTTTTCTCTAACATAATTTCCTTTAAACTACTAGTCTTTTTTCCCATTGTTCTAATTCTGTGGTATGATTTACCTTTTGAACCATTAGTGAACTCCACTCCTTGCTTCAACACACGTGTGTCATATTAGGACTAAGGGTGGCTTTCTTTTGCTCTCCTTAGCTCAGTCAACACTGCTCAACATTTTGCATGAGTTAACCTGTCCTTAGCTGGTCGACAAAATATATTGAGGTTTGCTAATGGCATCTCAATCTGATACCCTCCAAATGTGTTGGACTGCAACTCCCATTTCTCTGGGGATGGGGGAAGCTGTTGTTCTAAAGGGCACCAGGTTATGGAAGGCTGCCTAAGACTGTTAGGAACTGGTGGACCAAATTGAGGAATTTGAGAACTTCAGATATTGTTTGTCTTCAATACACTTAGCTTATACATTCCCTGTGCTATCCATCTCTGCACACACACACTTTTTTCCTTCGTTTGTTTAGCTATTTGAAATAAGGAGCAAACTGTTGATGGTACTGGTAGTCTAAACATTTAGTTTGACCTTGCTTTAGGATTTCCAGGAAAAAAAGTCAAAGCTGTAAGAAAACATGGAGAAATTGTCTTAAATATGTATTGCTGCTAAATACATGTTAAACTGCTGAGCTGCTGAACTTGCTGACCAAAAGGTCAGTGGTTTGAATGCAGTGAGGAGGGTGAGCTCCCACTGTTAGCCCCAGCTTCTGCCAACCGAACAGTTCAAAAACATGCAAATGTGAGTAGATCAATATGTACACTCTGGCAGGTAGGTAACGGTGTTCCATACAGTCATGCTGGCCACATGACCTTGGAAGTGTCTATGGACAATGCCGGCTCTTTGATTTAGAAATGGAGATGAGCACCAATCCCCAGAGTCGGGCCTGACTAGACTTAATGTCAGGGGAAATCTTATCCTCTATCTGCCCTTATCCTTTCTTAGTGTATGTGTTTAAATTTGTTTGACCATGGACTGTGTGACACCACTTTCGTGTTGACATCCCTTATCAAACCATGTTCTCTCCCTTTTCCATTTGTGCAACCTGGATTGAAAGCATGCTTAGTGTGTTTGA